CGCGGACGGGGAAAGTCTCCTTAAAATTTCAGCTTCCAGCTTCTCTGGTTTCTGAGTTAGCAGCTTGCCCGTAAAAGACTTTGGCGGGCCCGTACGTGGGTACCACGCGAGTAAGAGCGCCCATTTTGGGGATGGAGGCCCGTACATGCGTGTAGATTAAGTTCCCAAAATTTCAGCCCCGTAGCTTTTGTAGGTCTCGATATGAAAAACCAGTACAAACGAACACAGAGACAACCCCTCGTCAATAAGTGTTTTCTGCACTGCATAGCTGCAAAAACGCATAAAAAAGCAATATCCACATGTTCGCTTCCACTTGTTTGGTTGCAAACAGAAATAGTCATTTACAAAAAAATCAAAATAGCTGATTCCCACCGAGAGGAAGCAACTGGAACGAGGTTGTTTCGAACAACATTTCTTAATTTTACGGGGAAGAAAATTCTCGGTCGTATGAAGACGCACAATACGAAAACGTTGACGTAAGGGATCGAAATCCATTGAGCGAATGTGCTCTTTGCTTTGCTGCTAAGCGGTGGAATTCCGCAGTGCGGAATTGCACTATGAAAACTTGGAACGCTCACAAGGATTATGCCTCGAGATGGCAAGTAGATGCAAATAGTTTAAGATGCCCAATATAGTTACAGTTGATTCACAGTTGTACCTTACCGCCATCGAAGTTACCAAAAGAAGTCCGAGTTATATTGATGATCAAATAAAAACAAACAGCTAGGGGAATTCACAGAATTTGAATACAAAGTTGCCTCAAAAAATTTTAGAAACGCACAAGAGAAACTACATGATTTACGAAGGCACGAATTAAATGTATTTTTCTGCCACGTCCTTGTGAGTGAATTCAGTTGGCGGTCTCCCATGATTGTCTAGATTATCAATGCAGAAACAGAATATCCATATGCCAAGCGCTTCCTGGACTAAATTATCTTGCCCTGTGCAGTTTGCCCGCATCGTAACTAGATGATTATTATAGTTTGCGTGATAGATACCACGCACTGATATATGAACCCTTCAGTCGCCAGCAAAGTGAGCATTATGTAGCCCACTGAATTGATTGCACAGACCTAACGAGTTTCATGAATTTGCTGTAAGTTTGCGTTTGCTTGCTTCATGCTTCGTTGGTGAGCTTCGGATGAAACTAATGCAGGTCGGTTGGAATGCATCAGTACCACAGTGCGTTGATAGTGAACCACCAGCTTTCCACAACTGTCCTACAAATCCGGTTTATATACTGACCGACGACAATGGCCAGTTGTTACCAGCCATTTACGAAGTGCCCAGTGCGGTTGATAATTCTGGTTCGGTGTCCTACGTTCGTGTTACGCCTGAGGGCTTTGAGCCGCCAAAAATGATTTCGCATGATATGGACGTTATCTATACAGCATTTGATGATGCGGGCAACACGGCCGAATGCGTCGTGCAGCTGCGCATACCCGGTATGATTTCACTGCAAATTAATCTGTTACTGAAGAGAAAAAAACAAAATTTTGAGGATGAACTGTAAAATGCTATTAGTTTATGTGTTTTTGCATAAATGCAAAAATGGTTGGTGTATATATATATATATATATATATATATGTGTATGTGAGCCTCTGCCCGGGTATTTCAACTCGGCAACCAAGCAGCGATCTCTGGCAATAAAATTTTACAGGTGGGTTCCCTGACCAAGTGCCACCCCAGGACTGTGGCACCAACCTCCACGCATGTTTGGGCCCTGCGTACGAGCACTTGAAAGTTTTGGCGGGAAATCGCTAACTATGGAAACCAGGTAGGCTGAAATTTTAAAGAGTTGTTCCCAGCCCCACACAACTTAAATTCAGCCCCCAGGGCTGCGTGGTTCTTACATACAACCCCGTGGAAATTTTTGGTGTGAAGAATCGCTAATTCGGGAAGCGGAAAAGTTAGGAGGCTAAAATTTTAAGGGAATGTTCCCAGTTCCTGTACAACTTAAAGATAACAAATTCAGCCTCCAGGCATGCGTGTTTCTCACGTACGGGTACATAAAATTTTTTGGTGGGAAAATTGCTAACTCGGGAACCTGAAAAGCTGGGAAGCTGAAATTTTAAGGTGATGTTCCCCGTCCACATCGAAATTAAAGATTTCAAATTCAGCCCCCAGCTATGCGTGGTTCTCCCGTACCAGCCTATCAAAATTTTTGGCAGGAAATCGCTAACTCGGGAACCAGGAAAGCTGGAAAGGTGAAATGTTAACCGAATGTTCCCGCCTAAGTACAAATAGTTGCGCAATTAACTTCTTGAACTTCGAGGATCAGTATGTCACAAATTCTGACTACTGGGATTCCAAGCGATCCTACTACAGCACAAAATACTGCAAAAACGCGTGATCGCATGGGCCCGTCTGGTGTGCGTCGCCAATGATTTATACTTTTAGATACACAGCCGCCAGTGATGAAATGTCCCGACTCGTACATCATACCAGCTAAGGAAGGGCAGCTCGAAAAAACCGTCTTCTTCAACGAAAGTTCGGTGCAGATGGTGATTCAGGACACATCAAATATCACCGATGTAACATTTGAACCAGCTGAAGCATTACTTACCCTCGGCTCACACATTACTGTTGAAGTAACTGCTACTGACAGCGCCTCGAACAGGAACAAATGCAAATTTCAAGTTTCGCTTCAAGGTTGATATTCTTCATATTTCTCAAATATGTCTTTTACCGTTCGTTCGGCAGGGCGCACGCAGTGTCCGCTGATACGATCATGCGGTTTTGCACACCTGTACCTAGCGAGTTCGACATGCGGAAAAAACCGTGAGTAAAGGGAATCGTGCGGACAATCAGCCGGGATCTGGGTAATCCTCCAGTTTTGCCTTAAGTCGATTGAAGAACTTTTGTGGCCATGCATGTTTTTTT